TTTTTTCTATAATGTAGTGGTCGCTCGTATGTGTGTATCAGCGCATGCGCTGGTTTAGCAACGCCCAACTGCGTATTACACACTTACAGAGATAATAAATGAAACCAGTACAAATGAACGACCTCTGCGGTGTTAATTGGTAACTACCTTCATTAAAATGTCAGTGACAACTGTCACAAAATTTGTCGACAATGGGATTTTGCTGGAATGAGCATTTTGTTAGATTTGGGCTTGTTAACAATGTTGCGTCAACCACAACAATTTTTGGGCTGTATTTGATTATTTCCCCAGTGTAAGAATCGTCTATGTGTCTTTAATATGACTGAAGTTTTTTAAATAATGAAAGCGTTAATATCATGTGCGTAAAAGTTCCTAGTGACTTCCGTAGTGCTTGGTGTTTTAGAATAGGTTTATGTTTTATCTCTTGTGACATCAGTATAATTACAAGTTACCGCCAATACCTTTCAAATCTTTTGTAATTTATAGTTATTAAATATTATAATTCATAATTTTTTATGTGAGACACAACACGAGTTGAGTTAAAGTGTTAAATTCATATGGTTTCTTTACGATATTTTCGATAAGCAGGCTAAACCTCTAAAAATTTAAAGTTTTTTTCTGTACACAGTGTTCGTGACTGCCCAAAATCAACGTTTAAGGGTTTTGGAAAAATTGGAAAAATTTTGCTTTTAAGAAATTAAATTTTATAAACTTAATTAAATGTTTACATAGTCTAGTTGCTTTCTTAACCGTCTCAGCCCTACGCTAAAGTTAATTTACAGTGTGGACTTTGTGTTTAAAATCAATAGAGAAATATCTCAGTTTATCTTTTGATTAAAGTTGTCAGATAATGTAAGTTATTTTATAAATATACGCTAAAAGAAGACATCTCTAGGTAACAATTACTATAGAAAAATATTGTTGTCTGCAGACGACGTTGTTGACTATTCAGTTGTACAGTTTTATGAGCACGTGATATTTTTTTTACGTAGGTTCTTTGTATTTTGCCTAACTTACCGAAATATTTCTTTCGACTCACAAAAATTCTCTTAACAGTTTTTAATTTAATGACAGTAGTATCTTGACATAAACAACATATGCTAGAAAGTTTATATTTCTTCTTAAGAATTACTACCTTAAGATTTATTCAAGAATAACACAGCATTTTAATATAGTTCTGGGATCAGAAAAATAATTTCTGTTTCGTTACTGATTTAACGGTATGTTGTTAACTTTTTCAAAGAATATTATTATTATTATTATTTAGTGTTCTGTCTGAGGACAGGTCCATATGAACAGGATCCTTCCATCCTTTTCTCGGACTGGGACCTGTTCATATACGTTCTTGGCAGATGATCCAGAAGTGGTTTGCCATTGCCTTCTTCTGTGTGTGAATGGAGTAATTGTTGGGATGCCACGGAGGAAAACTCCGTGTTGCCTAGACCACGGCCTTGCCCAACACAAGTTATAAATTCACATGTAATACGTTTTTGTACGAATATTTAAATTTGATTAAATTTCTAACGAGTTTGTTTCGAATTGTTTAGTGGACCGGAAGCCACAAGAAATGTATTTTTTATAACTTCAAAGACTTATGTTAGAACCTCAAGTTATATCTGCTCTCGTATCGCTGATAGCATATCAGTATTTTCTATGAATCATCCTAAAGCCAGGAGGTTATACTCACTGTCCGACTGTAGCTTCTTTCAAACAGCAGATAAGTTTTTCGAAGGACTTAGAAACCGTCGGAGACATTTTCTTGGAAATTTTCTTTGTTCCGTTAGAGTAGCAGGAGTTGACAAGATCAAACAGGATCAGGGAATTTCTTCCTTCAGAAAACTTCAGGAGAGGAGAAATAGTGAGGTTGGAGGACAAAGTTGGAGGCGAGGATGAGGAGAGAAGGTTTTGGCCCAAGTTCTGATTCTTTTATGGTTTGAACAATTCTATTCCATGGCAGCAAAACGAGATATATATTATAGCGTTTGGAAACAAATTGCAAGTTATCAACCTGTACTGGATTCTACGTCGTCTCTACTTCAATCCAAGTTCTTTTTCTCTCATATATTTTTCTTTAACTAAAGGAAACTAAGTTTGTACATGTTCTATATATGTGAACAGACCAAAGTTTTGAATTTCAAGAACTACTGAATTTTTTCTGCGTTGTTCGTGAGTTTGAAATCATGACTGGTTTTACTGCAACCATTTTAACGTCTGGAGTTCTCATCGAGTATAGTTAAATTTAGACTTACAAAATGTTTTACTATAAGAAGAATATTCATTGACTCCTATATTGTCTATTCTGATATTTTATTCATAGACAAACCACAACTTTCCACTTTATTGTTCTGTTAACTGTTGTTTGGTCTAATGAAGTAAAAGTAAAGTTTGCCCCACTATACGCCATATAGGCGCTTGGGGGGAGAGCCCGTATAGCTCCTATTAATTCCTGACCTCGGCACTAGATGGGGGTGAGTGGTTAGAGTCACGTCCCGGCCGGCTTTACCCCCGGGAAAAGACCCCGGTACCCATTGTAGAGGAGGCTGGGTGGGTCCCAGAGCCGGTCTGGACGCAGAGGCTAGAGGAAAAATCCTCTGCCCCCGTCGGGGATCGAACCCCGGTCGTCCAGCCCGTAGCTAGTCACTATACTGACTGAGCTATCCCGGCTCAGGTCTAATGAAGTAAAATTTTAAAATATTAAGATTATATATGAAATAAATTACCATAAAGTTAATAAAGTACACAAAATATCAGCGGTCACTTTGGAAAAATATTAGTTCATTAGTGTCTTAAAGTATATATCAGTTTTTATTCCAAAGTTTTCATTACACCTATGGGTGTACAAAGTTTTTTAGAAAGCTTAAAAGAACCGCATTATTCAATGAAGATTAACAACGTATATAATATATAAGAGGTTATTTGATATGAGAAGTTGTTTGGATATTTCCGAGTGCAAATTTCTTCTTTTTATGTTCCGAGTTTGGTGTAGTAAAAAATATCAGAATCGTCTGATTGCTCAGCGTGTTCATTTGGTGTACTCTAGGAATGGAATATCTCCTATAAATGATCCATCTCTTTCCATTATATCCATGTCAAAGTCATAGGGTCTTTCTCTATGTATACTTCAATCAATCATCTCCGCAGAGGAACTACGATTTCTGGGTACTTGTCCAACAGAAAGGAATTATGAACTGCGTTAAGGAAATACAACTCTACCGCGAGATCAACGTTTCCCAGGTAAAAGGGGGAAATACAACTCTACCGCGAGATCAACATTTCCCAGGTAAAACGAAAATCATATTCTGGCGACAGGCTGTCAGGTTTTAATAGATTTTCCTGTCGATACTTACGTACAGTTACTTTTAATACGTTTCAAGTTCTGCCATGGTTTTAAAAGCTAAACTAGATTTATACTCTAAGGAAGGGTGATATACTGGCGGCCAGCGGGCCGGATCCGGCCCGCGAAAGCATTTGTTAATTTGTTACTTGTTATTACAAACCGATTTAATGTCTTTACTATTGAGGTTTTGAAATAATAATTGAGATTCTCATCTCGTCTGCTGCTTTGCGTAAAAATGTCACATGTCATTACGTGTTATGATCAACTCTTCATTTAGTAACGAGATAAATAGAAGTTGATATTCCATCACTGGCAAAAGGATATTCTGCTCAATTCTCTCACTAAAGCCATTGACTTTAAAAGCATAAAATGTATGTTCTACTGATACAGATTGTTATTATATCAGATACAAGGTGTTAAAATAATTTGTGTAAGTTTTCTCAGGTAATGTCATATCATATATCAGTAATTAGCATTCCTCTCAAATTCGGGTGGTCCCAGACTAAAGAGGGGCGAAGTCTATTTTGGTTTATAATGTTTTTTTATCAGTCCCTCAAGATAAATGCAGAGAATTTATTTTAGACCGTTATTTTAACATCATTTACCCATATAAGATGATAGAGTTGCGTCATATTGTGGAAAAAATATATTTAATTAATTAATCTTGTCCGTCTAATCACAATTTAAAATTTAAAATTAAGATAGTTAAAATACCATGTGATGCTCCTTATCGAAACATTCGATTTACATTTGGAACATCACTTTCTCACTACATGTTTCGGTTCTTAGATGAACCATCTTCAGGTGTGTAAAAATTACAATTTTATATATATAAGGAGCATCACATGGTATTTTAATTATCTTAATTTTAAATTTTAAATTGTGATTAGACACGACAAGATTAATTAATTAAATCATTTACCCACGTCTAATCCTATAATTTGATGTCAAATATTAACCCAATACCTAAAATCCAGGAATCGGTAGATGTTTATAGTGAGGGGTTTCCTTCGACCGTGCTTGGGTGTATCGACTGTTAATAGCTGATTTCTTGTTTCTTAGACAGTGAGGACAGCGATGCGGAAGGAGGTCTAGGCAACGTAACTCGTGTGGTCATGAGACCTCCAGGTCAGAGTGGCAAAGCCAAGCGAGGTCATCTGTGTTTCGACGCTTCGTTTGAGACTGGTAAGTGAGACAGGTTTGTTGATGGAATGTTGTGGATCCTACCAGACACTTGTCTTATCACTCAACGAATCAAATTGCGAAATACATTTATTCACAACCTATTATAATCGTGTAAGATCTGAGGTTTTAACAGCGACTAAGTATAATAAATTCTTCTCGGGTGGTTGAAAGTGGTTGGATATCGAAACCACTTCAGTACCGGGAGGACGAGAGCTAAGATGGTTCTAGAATATTTGGTATCTTCGCCTTTCAGCCACCAGACACGGTTGTTAGCCCGGAAATAATTCATTATACTCATTATATGAGATGTTACCGATCTGTCTAATCAGGGATTATGTCCGCGCTTAAAAGATGTTTTAATTAGAATAACTTTAATGGTCACAATAACTGCTTAAATGACTTAAAAAGAATTTTAGATCTTTTATATCTAGATTTCGTATTCCAGGTTAAATGAACGCTTATTAATTTTAAAACGGTCTTCTCTTGAGTTCAAAGAAAACTGTTTTTTATACATATATAGACTATTTGGATTTAGATGGCTGTCTTCTGGGTTGTTCGGCCGTGTAGTGTGGTAGAAGTTTACCGACGTTTCAGACGTACTTACTGCCTCCATCATCAGGGCTATGAGTACTTGTCTTTTGCTACAATAGGAAAAAAACAAGTGAGTTGAAATGGAAAGTGTTATCGAATAAAGCCGGAGAATAATTGCTTGGATGTTATTATTTTTAAAACAAAAGTTCAGTAAACATTAGCCCGCTTTTTTATGTATATTAAATCTTTAATTCGGAAAAATGTTTCAGTATCACATCATGTTATATTTTTTCTAGAATGCAAAGTTTAGTAGTAATTTCGTATAGAATTTTTATATATTAGTTCTCATGATATATCAATTTGAAGATTTATATTATTTTTTTATATTTTAACCTCAGGATTTAAAAGTATTGCAGTCAAACTTTTTATTTTGTCTGTCTATTTAAACCTCAAATTTTAAGAAATTGTTAATTAATATTAAATTAAAATATGGACAATGGTTACTTAAACATTTTAAAATTAATTCGGTATGTCAAGGTTACTTTTTTATAAGTACTAAAACACTTAAAGTAATCTAAATTATAGCCAGCGAATGTAAAGTAACTGCATTTGTGAACACTTATCTATTTGAAAGACCAAAATTATTTCCGTTATGTAAGGAAACAGACTACAAATGCGTGTAATGTTAAGAAGGTGGTACGTATAATGGTTCTGTCACTCCAGCAGAATTCCAATAAAATGTCAGAGAAGATAGAAAGTTTTTAAACTTAATGGGGCGAAAAGTGACAGGCGGAAAGCTGACTTTGCTGCTACGTACAACGTGTGTCAGATACATAAAACATTCTTTCAGTCATTTAACATTTGTGTTTTTTTTTTGTGAACAGAGAAATCGCGTAGACTATTAGCAAAACTATAACTTAAACAGCACTTCTTAATTGGTTTTGTTATGCCACTGTAGAATCGATCCGAAATGAGCGAACGTATTCGCGCTTTAGGAAAACTCACTCGTTGCGAGGGTAATTTGTGAAGATTTATAAGTTTCAAGCCGATTGGGGTAAGAAACTTCCCTAATTGCTTCCCGTGGGAGCAGGGAGTTTTGGTAGGTGCATGAGGGTTGTAGCAAAACACAACCATTAATATTGAAAGTCTTGCTTCAGAGAGTTTACACAACCGGCCCAGTTTCTCACATTCCTCAGACCACAGCATCCAACCAGACCGAAGATCCCGAACGGCATTATCCCCGGGAACACACAGCCATGATACCAATCTTCTTAAAGGCTTAATTACTATAGGCTTGTTAAGTAATCGACTCTTACACTTAAGTTCTTATGCAAGAGACAGAGGGAGAATTAACAAAAAAAAATATATTTATTATTACGCCGTGCTCAACTTTAATATAGAAGCCGTCAGCGAATTTTATATTTCAAGGTCACTGAAGGACATGTACTACTCCTTGCCACTCGGCTGTCAGCAGTACAATATGGTTGACGTTGCTAAATCTTTGTTGACTTAGTCTCGTTTTTGTTGTCGCCAGATCTTGTTGTGACCTTGAAAACATGTGATTTGGTGAAGACAGGTATGGAAGTGTTGGAATCGTTACGAAACCTGGGCAGAGTGAAAGTGGAATAGTACTACGCATGCGTGTTGCAGTCTGACGTCTCGTATTCTCTCAGTAAATTGTAAGAAATTTATGAAGGTGTCTTTTTTTTATTTTTTTACCATTTCAGTTGGGAATAGTTATTTCCTGTTGAAGGAACAAAACTTCTGTAGTGAAGACGTGGGTTTACAAGGGAAGTTCTACAGTTTTACGTTGTCAGTCCTAAGAACACTGATTTGATGTTTTCTAGCTCAAGAATGAAAGTCGGAAATTGAAATTTATTTTTATACCACAATATTCCTGTACAGACATTCTAGAATTATCAATACTGCGTTTATGGTTATGTTACCATCAACCTAGTAATTTAAGTTACACACAAAAAAATCTTGTTCTGCACATCACTACCATAACGTCTTCTTAAATTAACAGTTTATTCCGTTGCCATTTGTATTAAGAACACTAGCCTTGTAAGCCTCGGGTCCCGGGTTCAATTCCCGGTGGTGCTCAAATTTATAACTTGTGTTGGGCAAGGCCGTGGTCTAGGCATCACGGAGTTTTCCTCCGGGGGCTTCCCCGGTTTCTCTGTGGCATCCCAACAATTACTCCATTTACACACAGAAGAAGGCAATGGCAAACCCCTTCTGGATCATCTGCCAAGAACGTATATGAACAGGTCCCAGTCCGAGAAAAGGATGGAAGGATCCTGTTCATATGGACCTGTCGTCAGACAGAACACTACAAATAAATAAATTCAAGAACGCGATTTTGAGGTCGTGTAGAATAGCGTAACATCCATATGAAATTTCATCAAAATCCGTCAAGTGGTTCTCGAGTTTAATATACTGGACAGACGGACAAATATGACCACTGCGTAATGTTTTATGTTTATACACTTCGTTTAAAGAGAAAATAATAACAATTTATAACATTTAGAGCTTTAGGAAAATATTTCAACTGCTTGCGTAATTTTCAAGATGAAGGGATAGAAAAATCGGTAAATATTTCTGGTTATTCCTTGCGATATGAAAATTGTTAAGGTTACTTTAAACATAATCTGCATTAAACCCCACAGAGTACTTCTGTACTTATTTTAGTATTTATATGGTTATTCTGTTCATTTTGATAAGTTTTGAGTCTTCTGTAACAAAGAATTTAGACGAAAAACGTATTAATTTGCTATGACATGACAATACTGCTATTAATTAAGTTTTTAGTAACAATAAAATTATATATATTATAACGATCTTAAAATACTTTACGTTTATTACGTTTTTCGAAATGTCTTAATTTTAATTTATAATTCTTTTCTTTACAGCTGTAGTTACATTTTAAAATGTGCGGTCTATAATTTTTGTTATTTTGTATTTGTCACCCGATCAAGTTAAATAAAACTAATTTTAACACTGGAATCATTGCAGTGATTAAATAAAATTATATTCAGACTGATGATTACATTGCACCGGAAAAGACTTACGATGTTTTCCTACATATTTCTCGTGATGTGTTTCCGATTATGACACTTGTCCTCGCCTTTTGATGGACCGCATAATCGCGTTTGGTTTTTGCCGAGGCAGAAATCTCGCCTAGGACATGGTCGAGTGCTCGCGTTTTCCCTAATGGCCTATCAACCCATTCATCAAGATAATCCACCAATTTACGCTCGTTGTCATGAACATGACCCTGTTCAAATACGACTCTAGTCGACTAGGAGCGCCATGCCATGATTCCCGCGATATATCGAATACAAAATATCCGAAAACATCTGTGGTTTTTAAATACAGTAAATAACTGTCTTTACATTATGATTCTATAAACATTTTCACGTCTGTAGTAGACGGTTTACGATTACAACGTTATTTTAGAATACTAAAGGCCTTAAATATGAAATTGTTTATTTTAAACATGTCAAAGAAAGAATTATTTGTAAACGTCTCCTATGCGTGTGTCACGTGACACCTTGAAGCCTGGAGCTCTGATGAAATATGATTCTCGTCACTCACAGACGAAATCTCGCGCATGCGCGTATATCGCATTTCTATCAGGGCTTTTCTCCTGATCTGTAGACTGTACCTGCGAGTATAAATGACGTCATAACCCACAAAAAATCATAATCTTTACTTCCCTGAGAACCTCAGGTATCACATGGTGACATATAGATTTTATTTAGATTCTGAGGCAGAATTGTACATGTGAAATCGTGTATTTTGATAATGGTGTAATGTAATATAAAAGACATTTTTGTGTTTTTATAAAACAGACATATTAACATGTCGACGTAGCGAACGGTTATGTTTATGTTTTGAAAGAAATAAATTTGGTTGATTGAGACGTGTGCGTATTAGCCCTAGACTGCAAATTTTAAATAAACGTTAGGATGTCTACTGCTTATGATTTCTTAAAACTGCATATTCTTTAGTAGGTGACTGTACACTCATGTTTTTAGGTTATGTATTCTCGTATTAATACCGTCATATTCCCAGTATTTTTCGTGACGAAACGAATAAATTTGTACTTTAATACAGCCTATAGACCATACGTCGTATTTTTTTTTGGGGAACCCCTGAATTTTGGAAATAAAACTTCTTATCGCCGACTGTAAGAACAGTACGTATAGCCTACGCCTTGTGTGGGAAATCTCCATTTTGATTTATTTCTATGGCTAATGCGATGTCTCTCCGGACTCACGCAGTTATCCGCTTCAGTGCGGGATCACGCCGAACCTCTTGCCCATCCGACCTTGTCTGTCCTGATTTATTTGTGACTTTAAGCTTCCCATTACTTTGCTTCTCCGTCCGTCTGTCCATCTGTCTGCCCTCCAGAGTTTGAAGCAAAGAAAGAAAACAATTTATTTCATTCTCGCATCTAAATTCGT